ATTATTCATTTGAACCGTGCAAGGCCGGTTAATTTCCTCTACTGTTCGCACTTTGTTTTACTTTGTATTTCTCTGCGAAAAACAATTAGTCATGTTAATATGGCTCTGCCTATACGATTGCCAAGCTTCAATCATTATCGCCCTTTGGTTACTTTCTATATATGAAGATATATGTATGTCATTTCGGGTCGTGCCTTGGTCGTGTGGTCTCTGGGTGCTGTTTTTTCTCAAAAAACTCATTAAAGTGCGCCTCTTTGCCTGGGCCAAGGTTTTACCTTTGCCCGCCAGTTGATGGCATGACTTGGCTACACAGATAAGAGCCCAGACTCCCGCCTCCCGCCTCCTGTCTCATGGTCGGGTAGGCACACACTTGTGGGCGTGCCCATTGAGCATAATGCTTCACGGTGCAAAATGCCAACGAATTTTCACATGCAGCCGATTCTGAGTGGAGTTTTCCAAGCGCAGCATATCAAATCAGACGTCGTCAGTTCATAATTATGGCCCAGGCTTAGACTCGGGCTCGGGCTCAAGCTCAAGCTTGTTGCATGCCCCATGTTGCCGCCCTCGATCGTTGACAAGCAATTTGCAGGCGACCAACTGCAGCTCAGCTGTGCGTTCGGCTTGTGGCAGTGCTTAGGGTCACAAAGTTGCTTAAAGTGCACATAACTCTGCTTATTGTAATACCCTAGAGTCATTGAAAATCGCCAAACGGGGTATGCTGACTGTGTGCAAAAAGATGTAATAGCCAAGAGGAAGCCCCTTTAAAGCATGCAATGCTAATTATCACACGCAGCAACAGTTTATGATTTTTTATCGATATTTACTTCCATTTTTTAATAATCGATAAGTATCGAATGTGAGAATTGGGCATAGCTCGAAAATTATAAGAGTTAGATATCCGATACTTTATATATATCTTCTTCTATCGTATACAAAGATAAATAATATATCATTGTACAAATAACTTTCTACGTTTATCTCGGAAATTGTTTAATTAAAAATATCGATAAATATCAAAGTTGCTAACTGAGCATAACTCAAAAATTATAAGAGCTAGATATGACATATTTTATATATATCTTCATTTAGAGTCATATTTGAATATTTGTACAGCAGGCAGCTAGACTAAACAGGGTATCGCCTAGTCGGACAGTGCCATCTGTAGCTCAGGTACTTGTTATTTTTGCTGTTGTTGCGGCTAACTGCATTGTTGTTCCATTTGATTTAAGTATTTGTTGCCAATTGTTGCAGCTTTTATGTTGCTGTGGCAATTGCAAATGCCTGCCGCTTGTTGCTGCTATTGGAGTCAAGGCCCTGCTTTGTTTTCAATACTTTGGGGGCATTTTATGCGCAGATGGAGCCAAGCCGATTAACCAACCGCCTGGCTGCGGCAAGTGGCCTTTCCATTTGTGGCATACACGTGCAAGCAAACACCTTGTTGCAGCGACCACGCGGAATACATGCATAATTAATAGTCGTGCCGCCAAAATCCAAGCCAAATACAAATCGTAAACGAAATCAAACTCTGCCATCAAAGTGTGCGCCCGAAAAAAAAAAAGAAAAATTAAAAGAAAACACAGACATCCATCAATTGTCAGCTGCGACAGCGGCAACAACAACAAATCGCGAGCAACATGTACAAAACAGGACAGGCATAAATTGAAATCTTCAACAGCAGAGGCGGCGGTCTATACCCTGTAAGCTGTGCTGTAAAGTGGGCATGCTTGGAACATAAACATAAGTCTGCTCCTTATTAACAGTAGCAGCCGACTAGACACAGCCCTGATATCTGATCCGATCTGGAAGATTATATGGAGAAAAAAAATAAAAAGACATAAAGAAGATTTTTAAAACCAGAGACATCTAGTTTGGCAAACCAATTCACATGCAGTGTCAACATATCGATAATTAGCGGCATCGATAGTTATCGATTTTCGGTCTATGTTCTCTGATAAAAGATTCTTGAAGCAAGAGGGGACTAATTCAACATGGAGTCTCATGTTTGTACGGCTAATACGAATCAAGAAATTGATTTTCAGTTTTCTGAGCATATATCGATATATTCATTATTCACGGATGAGGAACCTATATGCTTTCTAATCCCCCAAAGACTCTAGAACTCTGGCATATAAACTTATTTGAATGTCATCTCTTAGCCCTGGAAAATGTCACAGCAATCGGCTGTGATTTTGAGGCATCAAATAGCTGGGTAGTAGGGTATCTGTTAGTCGAGCACTTGCGATTAGAGCACGCTTGTATCGTTTCATATCTGCAAATCGGCGCATATATGACGCTGATTAACACCGCATTACAGGCCTCCGGCGGCAACTGCAATTGAAACGTTGCACTGTCCATTAGAGCCTCGCGCAGGCGACGGCAGCGTGTGAATAGTCCAAGCGTCAACTGGCTGAGCCGTCATTTCCATAAACGCTGTGGCAGCAACTAGTTGCAGTTGCAACTGAATGTTGCTGCACGTGCAGCGCTTGAATAAATAGAAATAGAGGCAAGCCAGCATCAAATTTGTTATCGTTGTTGTTGCTGCTGCTGCATTCGCCTACGTAAAAATGAGCCCAGCACAGTGGTTCGCATATTAGGTTTAAATGTTTGAAAAATCTCGAAATCTCAAACTCAACAACTAACTATCTTATATATTCTAGCTAAGCTATATTCTAGCTAAGTAAGCATAGAGCTCCCAACTAGCTACTCATACAATATATTATATTTTAAATCTTTAAATTCTTCTTCGCTCTCGTCCAAAATTGAGGAATTACACTTATCTTAAGAGACAGCATCTTGCGCTAAGGTATGCAAATACTTTAATATGTCATATTTAAGCACTGAAAATTTCATTAAGATCGGACAACAGGCACCGAAGCTAACATTGAATGACTTTCTTCATAGATGGGCTGGGGCCAAGGGAAGAAGCTGCAGAGCTGCTGCTGAATGCTTGTAAAGGTAGCTGCTATTCCAGGTATTCAAGCAAAGACTTATATTCAGCTTAATGATATTCTGAGAAGAGCGAAGGATGTTCACACGGTAGTCGCAGCTGCTTGAACCACGGTGCAGCGCCCGCAATTTATGACTGATGATGCGAGTGGTTTTTGCGGTTTGCCAGTTTGCCTGCGGGCGCTTTTTGGCAGTTGCTGCTGTTGTTGTTGTTGTAGCTCGCACATACATCAAAATATGTCATAACTGGCAACAAAATAGCAGCGACAACAACAACAGCAACAGCAAGCAGAGCAACACCTTCCTTCAATCGCAGAGGCGTTGCACATACGCAACGTTGCCAATTGCCATTTGCCATTTGGCATTTGGCATTTGCAGCTGCAACACGCTGCGATTGCAACTGTGGCATGCCACGGCCCTTAAGTAGACGCACATTAATTCCAATTAGAAAACCATCAACACTGGCAATTGAAAACTCGTTAAAGTTCATTACCTTAAAATGATCAGGCAGACGGCCAGAACAAGCAAAAGCTATCTTAGGCTGCAGTATACGACAGGGAGATGCCCTTACTACCTCTACAAAGAGAGAGAATCTCCGAGCTATATTCAAGATATATGCCTATATAAATCTTTAATGATACGTAGACGTCTTCATGTGCCTGTTGCAAACACTTGCACATCATGCATATACCCTACAAAATGCCCTAACAGCACTTAAGCTCGGTCGCGTTCAATGCCAGTCGCAATCTTGGCCAGTTCGTGTGGCTTTTGCTGCATTGTCGTTTGTTACATTTAAGGAGCTGCAACTTGAAGAAGTGCGCATTTTGATTTGTTGCAATTGACATAACAATTGAAAACGGGCAAAACAAGTCGACGATTGGCCACTTGGCCTTGAGGCTAATAAGTTGTCCCGTCCGCAGCTGACATTTGAAGCGATCTTAGAGGGCAGCAGCCGCTGCTGCTGCCTCTTCGCGCTGCGTCTTGTGACATTGAAACAATTCACATTTCAATAATTTATGAGCTCTCAGATAAGCTCTGCTTAGGGGCAGCACAGCACAGGTAAAGGTAGAGGTGAAAATTTATCGCTGGCACAGCCTTGAACATTGCTTGGGCCGGTCCCGCGGCCGTTAACTAAATGCAATTGCACACGCCCAGCTAAAAAATACGGCTCCAAACTGCACGACTGGCAGATACCCTACAGACCCTGTTATTGTCTTCACATGCTTACATTTAAATTTAAGTCTGTTAACTATTTCAAACGCTATCAGCTAACAGAATCAATAAGATTCTCTTAAGTTACATTAGATATGATAACAGTGTTGCTGTGCTGCAGGCGTAGAAGTAGCAAAGAAAAATGCCAATACATTTATTTTTAGAAGTAGAAACAATAACATTATGTTAAGTGAAATCGTTACAGACGATATTAACAGTGTTGCCGTGCAGCAAGCCTAAAAATGTCAAGGCAAGATTTTTATTCCTATTTTTACGTTCTGTTATATGTCAACAATAAAGCATAAACAAACAGTGTTGCTGTGCAACAAACGTAAAAATAGTTAAGCTATAGTTTCTGTAAGACAATCTATTAAGTAAAAACGATGGAGCAGTGTTGCTGTGCAGTAAGCGTAAAAGTAGTTAAGCCTAAATAATTATGCATTTATTTTCAAAAATAAAGACGTATTATTTCAAAAATCAACCTTTTGTTTTTTTCTTTATCGAACGGTCAACTTTTTGTCTTGACCTTACTTTTTCGAAAAAAATTAGTTCTCGAGAGAGCCCGACTAGGAGATACCCTGTTGATAGCTGCGGCTTGCCATGCCACACATTCGTGCCAATCTCTGAGATACCCTATTTCACACTTCTTCAATGCTGTACAGGGTATCATGAAAAATCACTTGGTATAAATTAGAATCTCTGAGATCGACAAAGAGATGTAGCTGATTAAAACTAATCAAACGTAATACACCCCATTTTCACTTATTCAATGCTGTACAGGGTATAATAACAAATCACGGAGTATATAAATTATCAACCGCTGCACTGGTTGCTTAACTTACCGCTCCATCTCCTTGGCATCTGTGGGATAATTGCGACTGATTGTGTTTGTCTCGTAGGGCTCCTCGGTGGTGCTGCTGATGCTGCTGGTGGTGCTGCTAGTGGTGCTGCTAGTGGTGGTGCTCGGCGCCGTTGTCGTGTAGCTGTAGCCACGCCGGGCTGGCACTAGCGGCGGCACGGTGCCCATGCTGAGGCCGGGCGTGATGGCACGACGGTTGAGATTCGGCGGCGGCGCCGCGGTTGTGATGGGCGGCACGTACTCGTAGCCACGTCCGCGACCGCTGACGCCGATAAACTCCACATCGCCCGTGTTGTCCTCACCCTTGCCGGCATACGGCGAGACTGGCGGCAGCGGCGGCGGTGGCGGTCCAAAGGTGTTCGTATAGATGTTATAGGTATTGTAATCCCATTCGGTGGGTCGGGCGCCCGAATGCTGCTGATGCTGATGCAGGCGACGCGTTAAGACCTTGTTGTACGGCTGTTGGACATGATGGGGCAGGCGTCGCAGCCGCGTGCTGTCCGTGCCACGCACCGGACGCATTGTCACGCCCGGCAGCAGCTCCACCTCCGACTTGACACTGTGCGAATGACGCTGTCGATGCAGCCGATGGCTGTGCGAGCGGGTGTTGTTGTGGTTGTTGTTGTTGTGGCTACCTGTTGCCGCCGCAGCCAGCAGCAGCAGCAAAACTGTGCAACACAACTGCGTCATCTTGAACTGCAAGGAGACCGAAAGACAGAGGAACATATCTTTATTGAGTGCTCAAAAAATAAAACAGGGCATTGTTCGGGCATTCACTTTCGCGATTCCTAGTTACTTTGCACGCCTCGCTTAATATAAGCAACAAGACGGATCTGTCTTGGCTTCTGTCTCTGTAACGTGTATCCTCATGCTCATTAACAATTCCACAATTCCTTTGTCTGCCAGCCGTGCCGACCTGTCCATCATAAGCTCAGCCCGCGCCGCGCTCAGCTTGTAAGCCCTAAAGGAGCCAGGCTAAACTTTAACGTGGAAACTATTGCAAAACGGCTGGCAAACTGTGATACCGAGTGTCGCTTCAAAAAAAGTAGCAGCAACCCAGGTCACAATAAGCCAAAAATAGCTGAGCACAAATAAGCAATAAACTGCTTTGTTAGTATTTAAAATGCCAAATATATCTGTTATTATAAAATCTCAATTGTTGCCGGCTGATGAGCTCAACAATTAGCCAAATTTAGCTAGAAAATAGCTAAAATTGGCTATTGCTTGTCTGTGTTAGCCTTTACAGCATCAACAACATGCTGTTAAGGTCGATACATATGTACAAACAGTGTTGCCGTGCGGCAAGCGCAAATGTAGTAAACCAAAAAGGATTCTGTCTTCCCTAAAGCTAAAATGTATGACTTTAAAGGCAGGAAAATAATTTTTTTAAAATGTCTATTTTACACTATTTATAGTCATAATAACTAAAAAATATGGAAAATAATCACCTTATTTATTTCATAGGAAATAAATAAATCGCTCAATCGCTTTTTTACAGACCAAAATCTTGCAATGAGTACAAAAACTTGAACTTTATTGCTGATCGTATCAGCTGTAATTTACTCAAACTCTATACTCTATAGGCACAAAACAAAGGGCATTCAAGAGTTCGTAGCTGTCGTCGACGCGAGTGTGTACGCTTTTTTTCATGGTCGAGTGGAAACACTTGAATCAGCCGGACAAAGGCAATTTGTACGACATGACGTTGCCTGGGCTTTCGATTAATATTATTATTATTATTAATATTATATTATTATCATTGTTGTTGTTGTTGTTGTTGTTGTTGTCATTTGTTGTTGTAGAGCGCGTTAACAGTTAAGTGAACCGGCAGCTGGCATAAACAAAAAGCTGACCTGAAATTAATTGAAGTGACGCGACGTGAACCGAAGCCGGAAGTTTGCGATCCTCGATTTTTGGCAGCGCTTTGTTCTCCCCCTGACATTTCATCGGTTTAAGGTATTTATCAAAATTTCACGCAGTTGCCACATCATTTGTCAACACGCTGTAGCCCCCCTCTACCCGCCCCCTACCAGCTTGGCCCTGGACAATTACAATTTTAATTCCAATTCCAATTGCAATTGCTCAGTGAGCTTATTAATATTCATTGCTTCGGGCAGACACATCAAATTGAATTTATGACGCAGCTCATTAAACTTCAAGTTGGCCTAACACATGTCTTACACTTGTCTCTATCTCTATGTTGTCCCAATTACAAACCAATTGAAGTGCTCTAGGCGAGCGTGCCTCACGCGCAGATACCCTGTTACCCAGTTACGCAACTGTGCCCTAAGCTGCAGCTTATGTAAAATATATTCTTAAATAATTTTTGTATTTACTGTGCGATTGTTTCGTCATTTTCAGGGCTTTAAAATGATATTCAAATGTGTGAATATACAAAAAAAGAATCGATATGTCTGTGACATTTTTACAGTTTTAAGAGGATGGGGATCGGCTGGGGTTTTTGTGCTGAAATATTGGCAGTTGCTTAAGCTGGATATTGGACCTCTTTACAAGAAACTTCATACGAACTTGGATGACTCGAGCTTGAATATGTATCTGACATACGCTCAGAAACGATCGATATTTATCGATTTAAAAGAAATGGGAGAGTGTACCATTGTAAATGCTGATAAAGTATATTTATGTATTAAAGTATTTTGTATATTGAAATATATAGATTTTCTTGAAACGGGTAGAGTTCTCCATGTTATATATAAGATAAATATATGCCGAAAATCGATATTTGTTGCTCACTTTAATCTAGCCAGGTTCGATCGATGAAGAATATATGTATATACTTATTAAGGAATCAGAGTTTTCTCCTGCTGCCCGTCACACACATTTGCAGTTAGGCAATATGCCCCTTTGTAAGCCCTCTCTATAGGGTATTTCATAAAAAAAAACGAACTAAAATTGAAAATGCTCAATGACAGCAGCCACAACACGATTACCAATTGCTGTGGCTAATTAAAAATGGAAAGAAAAGAAATAAAAATTAAACAGAAAATAATCTTGACTTGCCACAGCAAATTGGGAAAAAGAGAGCGGCAAATGGTTGCCAGTGTGGCCAGTGTGGCCAATGTGGACGTGGAGTTGGCAATTGGAACTGGACTCCTTCGGCTCATCAGGTGCGGCCTTAAGCCGCTTAGTAAGTGAAACCCAGCACAAAGGTCTGACTGGCCTGTCGCTCCGACTGTCAGTCAGCGGCTGCCCAAAAACCAAAAACCAAAACCCAAACACTTCGCTGACCCAGCCCAGAGCCAGACCCTGGCAGAGTTGTCATAGTTCCGCGAAATGCAAAAAGGTTTTTTATTTTTTTTTTTTGGGGCGCCTCTCTTAATCAAAACTGCAGACAAGAAAAAAAACTAAATGCTTTTGATACGATTTCCATTGAAATCTAAGTTCAAAGCTGCGTTGACAACTCGCCTTGACCTTGCCCCGCCCCGCGCCTCTTGCCCCTTGCCGCTTGCCAAAATCGTTCAGGGCACAGATAAATCAATTCGCGGGCAGGCCCACGGTGCACAGTGGAAACGGAGGTCGCGGCCTGAACCAAAAAAAAAAACCGAAAAAGAAGGCAAAATATTTTGATATATTTCTAATTAATAGCCCGGCATTGGGCATAAGGAACACGCCGGATAAATCAAGTTTACCTGCCCGGCGAACTGCTGCTTAGCTGGAATTTGTCCATAAATATTTCAAGATCTGTGTGTGTGTGTGTGCGAGTGTGCGAGTGTGTGTGTGTGGGTTGAGTAAATTAGTGTGCGTATTAAATGTTATTGATTTGTTTTCCCAGCACATAAATCAAATGTTAAATGCTGTGTTTCAAGGCGTGGACAGCCCCTCGTTCCCCCCTCCTGAAAAACAGCAGCAAATCCAGCGACATTCTCAGCATGAAAATGTCAACTTATTTTTGTCAAACTGAGACACACACCACACACACACACACACAAAGCTGTGGGTGTCCATGGCGTGTGCGTGTGTTGGCTGACCCAGACATGAGCTATGGCCAATGAATCACAAGAGATGCGAGAAGCAGACGAGATAATATATATATACATATACATATATATATATGACAAGAGCATGAGTAGTATGCTCGAGGACGATGAAAATTGTTCTTTTCAAAAAGTGGAAGTCATAGAGAACAGACGTGCTCGCTCCTAAAAATATAATTATTTTGTGACTATAACGACACTCGGGACTTGCTGTGCTGCCAGTATGCCTAATTGCAAAGAAAGTGATTTCTCTGTTCCGACATCAGAAGTGGGATTAGGCGATGCCCCTCCACGAGGCAATTCTGACGATTCGTGGCGTCAGCTTTTGGAATCTCAAAATCGAAATATTCTTGAGATTATTAAAGCAATGCAGATGTCAAATTCAGCATCCTCAACAAAGAAGAGCATCTCGTTGCCAAAGTTCAACCCGGACATTGCAGGTGCAGATGCAAATGCCTGGTGCAAAACTGTGGACATAATACTTGACGATAATCCTATTGAGGGCAGTACACTGGTGATGACCCTCAGCGGCTCCCTAGAAGGAAGCGCCTCGCCCTGGCTTTCTCAAATATGCTATACTGGAATGAACTGGCAAAATTTTAAGGAATTGTTTTTGCAACGTTTCGTGGGAATGGAAACATCGGCGGCAACTTTAATGAACATTTTTAATGGCCGACCGAATGATGGCGAATGCCTCTCCGTATATGCGAGCCGTCTTGTGACGTCACTTTTATCCAAATGGAAGACAGCGAACATGGAGGAAATTGCAGTCTCAGTTGTTTTGGCACATACATCGAAAATCGACAAAAGTCTGCAACGTATGTTATATACGACTAATATTAAAAGTCAAGACGAGATGCAACAGCATCTGAAGGCCTATGCTTATGGAAGGTCAAATGGAGGTCTACAGCCAAATATCCCAATGGAACCAGATCGCAAGAGATCGAAAACATATGGCATTAAATGTCATCATTGTGGAAACCTCGGACACAAAATGGTCGAATGTCGCAAGAGGAAGTATGAAGAAGGCAACGTGTCAAAAAACTCAGCATTACCTAAAGTTCGATCTGCCGTTACCTGCTTCAAATGTGGCGATGCTGGCCACATTGCGTCTTCATGTACGAAAGGAGTTTCTACGAGCGGTGTTGGATCACATGACAAGCGTATAAACATCTGTTGTGTGTCCGAGCCAAAAGGAATCCTGCGTCAATCTGGTGAGCTCGTTCCATTTTGTTTTGACTCTGGAGCGGAATGTACGCTCATCAGAGAGAGTTGTGCCGAGAAATTTTCCGGAAAAAGAATTAATAATTTGATAGTTTTGAGGGGTATTGGAGAAAATCCTGTGTATAGCACTATGCAAATCTTGGCTACTGTTAAAATTGATCAGTACTCCTTAGAAATATTATTTCATGTAATAATGGATAAGTTTTTGAAATACGATGTATTGATAGGCCGTGATATACTCGGATTAGGCTTTGGAGTCTCCATCGAGGCCGACAAATTTGAAATGTACAAAACCAAAACTGTTGATGTACTAATAAAAGTGCCAGATATAAGTTACGTAGAGCATCTGAATAACGATAGAGCATTAAGCAACACTGATAAGAATCGTCTGCTAGAATTATTGCAAAACTATGCTGATAAATTTATTGAGGGTATTCCTCAAACGCGAGTGACTACGGGTGAACTTGAAATCCGCCT